TGGGAGGAGCTGCCATCATCCATCGCTCCGTCCTGCCCGCACGGCCGCCCCCCGGCTCGGTCCCTGTGCCGCGCCAGCTGCAGCCTCCCCGCGGTCACTTTCGCTGGCTTCATCCCAGCGTTTGCGAGTCCAAGGTGGCATTGAATTAAACAAACCAACGCTAATCACAGCTCCACTGTGGGGACAGTTTCAGAGAGTTTAATTTCAAACCAGAACAGCTGCTGAAAGCCCCTTGGCATCACCATGGGCAGAACTGGCCTCTCTCAAATCTTTGATACAACAGATTTTTGGTACACCAGCCCAGACGCTCAAAGCTAGATAAATCGCGTTTTTAAAATACTAGAAAGGCTTTTGTCATCCTGTTAAGTTCTCAGCGTTATTGGAAACCACAAAATGACAGAGTAGTTGGGCTTGAAAGAAACCCTGAAGACCATCCAGTTCCACCCCCCTGCCATGGACAGGAGACCTTGCACAATCAAGTACATGTAGGCATTTATCCACAGAAATGGGGAGATTGACCCCCTTACCCCATTTTGCATTTCATAGACATGAAGTCTAAGCTGCTTCCCACAGCTCCTGGGGCTGGAGCTGTTCCTCCCCAGAGTAGCACTGGAGCTTCCCTGCTGAACCTCCCCAGGGTTCCCTCAGCTCTGTCCAGCCTGGCCGGGTCCCTCGGTTTGGCAGCACCTCTGGGGTCAGTGACACCTCAGGGCACCCTGCCCGTGGTCCGGGGCATTAATTAATGGTGATGTTAAACAAAATCAGACCCAGATCAACCCCAGTTACTGGCCTCCAAGCAGACTTTGTGCCACTGATCCATCGGATTTCAGTCCACACATCTTCAGCTTCTACACCGTAATCAATCCACAGAAGTTCTGATAAGAAGTTTTTATTATTGTTCTCACAGGATTGAGCCCATCCTGAGCTGTGCTGGTGTCAGACAGTGCCATGTTAGTAACAACAGCAGGCTTAGGGAGTTACATCCAGGAGAGGGCTCAGTCCATTCACTACCTTGACAAATGGCTGAATATACCAACAATATTTCTTAGGAAAACTTGCAGTGGAGCAGTGTTTTATACTGGTTTTTAAAACCACAGGGAGTACACTTAAATAAACTAAATATACTTAAATGTATATAAATGAATATATCTGTATTTTATACTTAAAAGCCACATGGCAGACTCAGCTGGACACTAGACCCCAGGTCGTGGCTGTTGGCTAGACCTGGGGATCACCTCAGATAAATGTGTTATGCCCAAGTTCTGGAGCAGGTGTTTTCCTCTTCCCAGTAAAAGAATCCACAGGTAGGCCTTTAATTTTCCTCAGCCAGGCTTTCCTTCTGGCTCTGTCTTTGTGTTCCGTGGGCTTTGCCTGCTGTGCCTGGTGCTGAGCTGCCACAGCTGCCTCACGCAGCTCCTGCTCTGCTGTCAGGAGCCTGAGCCCACTGTCCCTGCGGGAAGTGTAGGCACAGGAGGGCTTTATTCTCCTGGGACCTCCATTCCTCATCTCTGCAGCCGTGCCAGGCGTTGGTTGGATCAGCTCTGAAGAAGCTGCGCAGAGATTGATGAGCTGATGCCTGTCTTTGGGACCAGGAGTGTCTTTCCCACGGCCACTGGGAGTTCTCCTTTTTCCCAGTGAGACACAGAGCTTGGGACGTACAACACGGGGAGCAGGGATGGAGGATTTCACAGCGGGGCTGTGCAGAGAGTTCTCCAGCCTGAGCCGCAGCAGTTTGGTTTCAAAGGGAATTGAGGTTTTTGTCACGGCCAACGAATGGCTGTGCAGCCTGGCACGCCGGATCTGGGCTGCCCGCTCCTCCTGGTGCTGCAGGGCCATCCTGGGCATGGGCAGCTGCCCGGGGCGCTGCTGCTGCTGCCGGGCTGCCCTGGCCCTGGCAGAGAGCAGGCTGGGGCTGCGGCTGCCACCGCCGGCCCTGCAGGAGCTCTGCAGCGTGCCGATGGTCAGCAGGAACTTGTCAGGGGACATGGGACTCCTTGGGTCTCTCTGGGGCAGCTCGCACTCCACAGTGGCCTCTGACTCCTCAGCTGCAGGGGAAGCAGAGCCATGTTCAGCTTCATCACCTGTCGCCAGAAACAAAGCAACACATTTGGGGTTGAGAGGCTTTCCCACACAGTGCAGAGCACAGTCAGAGAATCACAGAATAACTGAGTTGGGAGGGACCCACTGTGATCATCCAGAGCAGCCCTTGGCCCTGCCCAGCAATCCCACCCTGGGCATCCCCGGCAGTGCTGTCCAAAGGCCCCTGGAGCTCTGGCAGCCTCAGGGCTGTGCCCATTCCCTGGGCAGCCTGAGCAGTGCCAGCACCCTCTGGGGAAGAACCTTTCCTGATCTCAGCCTGACCCTCCCTGGCCCAGCTCCAGCCATTCCCTGGGTCCTGTCTTTTACCAAGCAGAGCATCAGTTGGCATCTGCTGGCCTGGACAGCAGGAACCTTTTCCCAGCCCATCACTTCATCTGCAATACTCAGTTTGTGGCTGGAGGATTTGTCATCACGCTGCATTGAATAGCTCTGACTAAAAACGAAATAACATCACTGTGTTACAATTGAAAAGGTGCCTGTTTCTGGGCAGTTGCCTTTCCCAGTGATGGCAGACCCTGAATGTAGGTGTTCTCTCACTTTCCCGGGTGTTTGCAATGAATAATTCAAGCCCTGAATCAGCAGCGTGTTTCCAAGCCCACCAGCTGTGCGAATATGAATACTACTACTGATTTCTGTCTTACTCAGTTGGAAAATGACAGTGCCTGTCTTGAAAAATATGTTGAAGTTACACCAAACCCTTGTAAAGAGGCAGAAAGGTTCCACAGAAGCCTAGAAAATGACAGAACCATTGAAATGGAACAGCACATCTGCTCTTGACAACAGCAGAGGGTCTGAATATTGGCTGGGCTGGAGGCAGTGGCTGCTTGGTTTGTTACTCAGTTTAGAAAAGCCAGAAAAGAAGCTCAGTGTGATACTTTTGGGTCTTCCATGGCTCTTTGGTCTCTGGCGAGATTTTGAGGACTTGTCTGCAGCTCGCTGTGGCTCTGCACTGGTGCCCTGGCGCTTCCCCTTCTGGGACCTCCTGTCCTGCTTCGGCACCTCTCTGTCAGCGGGCAGGGAATAGTCCCACGCCACCTCCTCAAACTGGAGCAGCAGCAGCCTGCTGGGGGAGTTGGTCACCACCCTGCAGGAGGGAGGGGAGAGCCATGAAAGCACAGCAATCACAGACACAGCAGGTCCTGCCTGAGGGGCTCCTGTACAACACAAACCCCAGGGCCTCCAGCAGATCCAAGATCAGCATCTGTCCTGGAAGGAGCAGCAGCAATTGACCCCATCAATCAGACACTGCACAGTTTAACTTGTGCTCTGTGTGAGTCTCTGGTGCTCTTTTCATTCAGCTCCATGGCAAAATTAGTTTAAAAATAATTGGGATGAAAATTTCCAGCAGTGGACAGAGCCAGATCAGAGTAGTGCTGAAGGATGGAAGTACCTAACTACAAATACCATATTGCCCGGGACATCTAAGTGTGGATTGAAGGGCTGTGCTGGTCTGGTTGGGATGGCGTTAATTTCTTCATAGCTGCCCATTTATTGCTGTGTTTTAGAGTGTGGCCAACCCAGCACTCAAACCACAGCAATGCTTTACCCATTGCTTCCACAGTAACTGGGAGCCACCTTTAGTTAGAGGTGCAAAAGTGAATGAACCTGGAAGGATTTCTCATTATTGGCCTTTACAAAGAGGCTGTAGGTCAGAGAACAGGCAGGGTATTGGCTTGATTCTCCAACCTCCTAAGAATTTCTGAATTCAGCTTTACAGTTGGGTCTGTATCTTCAGCTGTAGAGAAATAGGAAATTGTACATTGCTGAAGAGACTAAGGAAATCTTTTCAGCCACTGTGAACTAAACCAGATTATTGAAGCAGTTAATAAATAGTGGAGCCCTTTAAAAGTTATTTGTAAGAAGGAAAACCACACAGTTCCTTAAATTTCAGTGTAATCCATAAAATCTGGGCCAGAGCCTGCTGGCAGCAGCTGTCACCCACCTGTTTCCTGCGACACAGAGAGCAGACACGGGGTCCCCGCTGCCGCCGGGCTCCAGCACTCGGAGGCAGGTGCCAGTCAGGAAGTTGAATATCCGAATGCATCCATCAGCACAGCCACTGATGACTCGGAGGTACAGGAACTCCAGGGACAGCACTTCCCTGAAAACACACCAGGCCAGTTGACACTTCCATGGTGCTTGCACAGGGAGAAATGGTCAGCGAGCTCCTTCAGCCTGCAGGGGAAGCAGAGCTCTGGCTGCAGCATCAGCCTGCACTGAGGAGCTGATCAGGGCATTGCAAAGGTCTGACAGAGACCTCCCGGATCACTCCATGTCCAAACCAACAGCCCAGTGCATCCCCCTCTGGAAGGTGTCCCTGCCATGGCAGGGGGTTGGAATGAGGTGATCTTTAAGGTCCCTTCCAACCCAAACCATCCTGGGATTCTGTGATTCCATGCTCCCCATAGCAACCATATGGTCGTGGCCATCTGCTGCATTTGAAATTTCAGTTTTATGTCCAGGAAAATCAATGAAACCATACGATTCTCCAGTTTTCACAGTTCTAGATACAATTCAAGTCTGAGAGGATGGCGTAACACGCAGTTGGCCAGCATGAAACTGGGCCACCTCTATTCCTGCCCAGGTGATGTGACACCCTGTGGCACACAGCGGGGGATCCTTGCAATACTGGACTGTGCTCTGTCTGCCTTTAGTCATGCCTAGTTGTGATAAAGGGTTATGGATTTGCATGTCAGCTGTTCCAGGTCTTAACTGAAAATGCTGCTTGTGACCACAGGGTGCCTGACAGAGCCTTTGAGATAAAGATTGGCGCAAGTGGGGATATTTCAAATCCTCAGAATGGTAATTAAGGCATTTTCTGGTTCTGTAAGGGGCACTTTTTCTTTACAGTTTCAGTCCACTGTTGAATACAACTTGAAACACATCTGATTCCTACTTGGGATGGAAGAAAGCCATCAGGCATCTCCTGAATTTTCCCAGCATGCTCCATCCCAGGGCATATCCATCACTGCCCCCTGTGACGAGGTGCCACTGGTCAAAGGACAAGCAGAGAACTGGGCCTTGGTGCCTCTCTAATGTCTGCAAAGTAAAAACAAAAGGTGCAATACATCAGTAATGGGGATGTAAATCTGTCTGAGGTGTCCCATAGCTTTCAGGACACCAGGCTGACATGGTTTTACAGTGGTATTGTACCAGTGCCCCCCATGGATAACTGTGATTGTTTTACAGTCACTGAAATGTTGTGGGCTTGGTGCTGCTGCTGAGCTCCTGGCATGGAATTACATCCCTTTCCCATCTTTATTACATGGGATTATTTTCTTGTTTAGAAAGTCTTTGGCAAATGCAAAAACCTGTGATGAACTAGCAGAGGGTTGTGACCATTTAGCACAGAATTATCCACCCCAGAGGAAACTCACCTTGATCAGAGCCCCTGTCTCAGCACTCCAGACCTTCACCAGCCCTCGGTGGCCCCCACTGACCACGTGGGTCCCGTCCATCCTCACTGCCCCCACAGGGCTGCTGTGCATCAGGGTCCTGAGGCATTTCCCACTCTCCAGGCTCCACACTGCTAGGGCAACAAGGAGAACTAAAAATGCATCTGCCCCAGTGATGAGTTTTGGGAGTACAACATGCATTAAAAATACTATTGGATTACAGTCACACCTTGTACCTGCAGCTCTGTGAGGAGCTGAGTGCTGGCTTAAAAACCATAATTGCATGGCAAACAATTTAAATGTGAAGTCCACAAAAAGCACATCTTTTCCACCTTTATTCTATAAGGAAACATCGGGCAAAGCTGAAAGGTGATGCCACTTGCCCAAGAGTTGGGATGGCATTACAGCCACAAAGCCATTAATTCTGAATAAAAGCAGAAATTATGAGAATTTAGTCCCTGACACAATCAGAGACTGTGTGTGCACATGTCTCCGGTGTGCCACTCTCCCCAGCCCCCTGCCCATGGTTCTGCAGTGATTCCCTGTGGCGGGGGGGTCCCAGTGCTCCTGTCCCTCCCCTTTCCCCATACCATCCCCAGGTCCCAGAGCTCTCACCTTTCCCCATACCATCCCCAGGTCCCAGAGCTCTCACCTTTCACACCATCCCCAGCTCCCAGTTCTCCTTTCCCCATGCCATCCCCAGCTCCTGTCCCTCATCTTGCACCACACCATCCCCAGCTCCTGTCCCTCACCTTTCCCCATGCCATCCCCAGCTCCCAGTGCTCCTGTCCCTCACCTTTCACCACGCCATCCCCAGCTCCCAGTGCTCTCACCTTTCACCATACCATCCCCAGCTCCTGACACCAGGTGCTCCTGGTGGGAATGCAGGCAGGTGATGGTCGCATAGTGACCCGTGAAGGTTCTCACACAGGCCCCACTGTGAATATTCCAGCACCTGCAGAGAGGAGAACTTTAGGTTCCTTCCATGTGGTTCCATTATTATTTCCTATTTATCGTGCCCAACTCTGCTCCCCACACCAGGTTAAAATCAGGAGCTGTTCCACTGAGGTGTCAGAGCAGTTGCAGCGGTCAGGTCAGGCTCAGCATTAACGTTTGCCCCTGTCCTTCCCTCTCCCCCCAGTGTGGCAGGCTGGGTGTCCTGGTACAGTCCCAGCTCACCTGATGCTGAGCTCCAGGCTGGCGCTGCTGAGCAGGATCCCTCTGTCCTCGCGCAGGCACAGGGCTCTGATGAGCCCGGCATGGCCGTGCAGCAGCAGCTCCTCCTTCCCTCCCGGCACTCGGAGCAGCCTCAGCCTCCTGCTGCCAGCAGCCACCCAGTGCCCACCGCTGTAGTGGGCTCTCCTTGTCCTGTCACACCTGCCAGGGACGGTGCCTGGGTGAGTTTAGCCAGCTGCAGACCTGGCTCAGCACTGCCCTGCCTTCAGCTGGGCATGTGGGCAGAGCTCTGCTGGTGAATCCTTTGCAGGGCACCGCCACAGCCCCTAAATCTGCACATCCCTTTGTATCAGGGTGGGCAGAGGGGCAAGGGCTCCTCCCAGCTCCATTTCCCTTGGGATACACCATGGATCACCAACCCTTATTCCTTTAAAAACAGCTTATCTTGACACCTTTATTTAAAAAATGGAGATTTCTTAATACTGATGCTGAGGGACCCTTCAACCATCCAGGAGGAGGATCACAGGGATCACAGCTTTCCTAGAGCTGCTCTTGGCCCCGCAGCTGGGCACTCTACTCACTGCTCCATGAGGACACGGGTCTTGTAGGGGCCACAGAACACATTCCTCTCCTCCAGCTCGATCTTGTCAGTTTTCAGTTCCCGATAGGCTTCCTGCAGACCCAAATCCTCTGTCTGATGGCAAGAGAAATAAAGAAAAGTAACTCAGAGAGGCAGGAATGCAGCATTATTCCATAGTATTGAACCTAGCAGCTCTAGGGATGAGCCCAGAGTAAGGAAAACCAGAGTGCAGCAAGACCCTGCTTAGTCCAGGGTTGTTCCCAGGCTGTGTTCTGTGACATAAATGGAAGCCCTGAGGGCTGCACCCTTTATTCTGAGGGAAGAGAGCCCTGGCCCCAGGATTGTGCCCTGGCTGGAGACACACAGGGATGAGGCAGAAGTTTGGAAATGTGTCCCCAGCTCCCTCCCTTGTGGGAAGTTGCTGAGCAAGCCCTGGTCCCTATGAACTGCTCAGGATGGGGCAATTCAAAGGCAGGAGTGGGAAAGAACAAAGCAATTCCAAATTCACTGTGCTGTCTCCCACGAGCTGTCTCTCTCCTCCCCAAACACTGACATGCAGCATCCAACAAACCTTGGATTTACGCCTCTTCTTCTGCTCCTTGTCCTTCACTTCAGTGACCTCACCCTCATCGTTTAGCTGGGGAATTTGCACATCGACTCTTTTGGCATAGTTTGGCATGGTTTTTCTAGGACACAGCTCCTGGAATAAACCAACAGAGGCAGGAGTCACTGCAGAGCCCACGCTGGCAGGGTGTGCTGCTCCTCTCCTCGGATGCTGGGGCTCCTGCAAGGCTGAGCTGCACACTCTGCCTTCTCATTGAGACCTGGCTTACATTTAGCACTCTATCCACCTCAGGTTTAACTTCTGATGAAAAATAATTGCTTTTTATTATTTTTTTTCCACACTCTAGTCTTAAGCTTTTAATAAGCAGCAAAATTTTGAGCTCATCTCATCTTTGGCAGGCACTCGGTTGATTCAGAATCCAAACCCACTGAGATGGGAGGCTCTCAAAACACCTCAGTCAACACTCGAGATTCGTTTTTAGCCTGTGAAACCTTCCCTGAAGCCTTTTGTGAAGGCCAGCACAGAGCTGAGTCCAGACTGTCTCTTGGGGGAGGCTCCTTCACACCTGACTCTGTGGCAGGTCCTGCTGGCCAGGCCAGGCCAGTCCCAGGAGTTCTGCATTGCTGTGTTCCAGCCATGGCCCCCAGCTCCTCACAGACCCTTTGCATTTCCCTTGCCCTGTGTGGAGCATGTGGAGCTCAATCCTGAGCTGGCCTGGGAGCTGTTGTAGCTCTGCCCAACCTCCCCCACCTCTGGAAATTTTCATTGTGACCAAAGTCTGCTGTTCTGAAGAATGCTTGGACGCATTTTTAGTCTCAGGCTCTCTAAAGGAGACTGAAAGCTGTTCTTGTGACAGTGTGAAATGTCACCTGACTTTGCTCTGGAGGTGGAAGGGCCATGGCAGAGTTGGGTTGCAGCCTCTGGTACAGGAGTTCCCATTTAACAGCTTGGGCAGCACCAAACCCCTCTGGTTTTAAAGTGCACAATGATGGCAGGAGCCCAGGTGTCCCACCTGCATCTGCAGGAGGTTCTTCTGGACTGTGTTCTGACACGTCTTGTCCTCCCGGACCCGCCTGACCAGGAACGCCCAGTGACCATTCACAGCAGAGCAGGCATCCAGGGATTTCTGATCCAAAAGCCCTGGGAAGTTCAAGGGACAGGTTGGCTGATCCCCTCTGGAAACCTTTCCTTCCCCTTAGGGGAAAGCCCTGGAAAATCAGAGCAGCTTTACCCAGGATGGCCATGGACAGCTGGAATGGCAGGGCACGGGTGAAGTCCTTGGGCTGGCTGCCATCAGAGCCTGGCGGAAGCGACGCGGGAGCCATGGTGACATCTGCACCAGCTGGGGACAAAGGTGAGCTGGCCCCTGCATCGGGACCTTCCTGGCAGGGCACTCAGTGCCTTGGGGCCAAAGGCACGTTCTGGTGCTCGGCCACCCGGAAAACAGGGAATTTACAGTCTGGAAGAGCTCGAGTTTTAGTGCCACGGACAGCACCGCTGCCAGCAGTGCCCTGGGAGGGCTGCGTGGATTTTAACTCCTCCCTCTGGCTCTGTGCAAGTCACAGGAAAGCGCTGGGAGCGCTCCTGCTCGGCAGGACAGGACAGAGGCAGCCCCCAGGGGATGGGCACGGGAGGTGACAGCCCCAGGGGATGGGCACGGGAGGTGACAGCCCCAGGGGATGGACACGGGAGGTGACAGCCCCAGGGGATGGGCACGGGAGGTGACAGCCCCAGGGGATGGACACGGGAGGTGACAGCCCCAGGATCAGCACGGGAGGTGACAGCCCCAGGGGATGGGCACGGGAGATGACAGCCCCAGGGGA